AGTTCTGGGGTACATATCGCCATTTTCGAACGAACTAGCCCATACAATGACTATATTTCTGCGTTCCCCTATACATAACCTTCATCTTGACACTCTATTTAACGTAGGGTTTGCGTCTCGATTTTTATATATCACTACGCCAACATAGGGACTCATTTTCAGGTAAAATCCCTGCTTCACCGATGAAAATTAACGAATAAAGTAGTTCCAGTTTACGGGACTATATTCTTGCGATTCTTTTCTTAAAATGGCACATTTAGAAAGTACTTAGCCTCAGCTTTAGATACATACCTCAAATGGCCACATTGCATACACTTAAACCTACTGTATAGACCATTGAAGTTGGCATGGCTTCGTTTTTAAAGTATTAAAATAAGATATCACGTTTTAAGTACCCTGTGATACGACATAATCATGTAATACTGTAAAACAGGTATTGTTAGCGAGGGGTAATTGTTAGCGATTGTTAGCGATCGCTATAGTGTCGCTAAAAATTCAATTCGCTAAAATAAACCGGGCGCTAAAATTTGCAAATTCCCGAGAAACTACATGAATACTAGATATAGTATTTAAGGAGCTTTTCGTTCAGTGCTCGACTTCCGGTTTGTAATTTGAAAAAGATAAATATTTTTAAATCGTATATTTCTTTCAGTATCTGAAGGATTTCGCTAAAATTTCCCGCGCTAAAACCCCCTAAAATTGAAAAATCGCTAAAATTTCCCGGTGTCAAAATTACCCGTTTTACAGTATTTCACCTGTTAGAAGATAATAACTCCAGAGACTCGATTGAGAGAAAGATCTGTATTTCTATTTTTCGAAAACAATAACAAAAAATAATAAAATCTGTAAAACCTACTATCCATTCCCTTTCTATTATGTAGCAAAACTTATATGTTACATTACTATTGATTCAATATTAATGTATTTTTATCGTTTGATTCGAAAAACATGGTTGTCATTGTCCTATATTTATCAGAGCTTTCAAAATTAGTACTTCTTTGCCGAGTCGTGAGTCGACGCCATTTTTACATTGTAGCCATATTGATACAAACATGTACATTTGATACAGGTCGGCTACAATGAATCCCGACAAAATTGCTACAAAGTAAACACTCTCAGTTCTTCTAGTTCACCCTGGTTGCAACGTACAACATATGTCTGTTTGTTTTCAGCTCAACTACATGTCCTGTACATGTCCCGAGAGACCATGGACAGCAATATTGAAATCCTTGTAAAAGCTACAAACCCAAGTACTGTACTGGAAGGGAAGAATGTCAAAATCAAAAAGGATCGCAGAAATTGCTGTGTGCCACATTGTACAAAGACTGGGACAAGGGTGAAAATGGAAGAAAGGTCACCTTTCACAGGTATTTAAAATTTCACAAACTATAATACTGATTAAATGCAGTTTATCATACATGTACATTGCACTGTCAATGTAGAGAGTGATATTTTTACCATTTGTTTTTATAGTATTCTCAATCTGTACATTAGCCTATTGTAATTTATTTGTAGAATGTTCTCATACATGTACATGTACATTATGATTCTTTCTAGAAATATATATGTATATATACTTACTTTTATTGACTGATTGATGTCACAATGTAAACTTACAATTACAAATATATTGTTCCATTTTTTTATTTCCAGCTTTCCCAGTGATCCCAAGAGTAGACAACAATGGGTGGTCAAAATCAAACGCGACATAAACAACACATTCAAGATATCAGCTGGAACAGTGGTGTGTTCACTCCATTTCAAAGATGAGGATTATCGATATACCGGTGGATACTCCAACAGATGTTACTTAAAAGAAGATGCAGTCCCCTCAGTCTTTGATTGCTGGCTAAACTTAGACAAGAAATATGTACAGTATATACTCCAGCTAAAGAGAGACGCCCCAACAAGTGGATGTCTAGGAAAGTATCGGCACCAGGGCAAGCGAACTGTGCTCTAGAATCTGATGCTCTATCAGAAAATGACACAGATACAGACTCAATCTCTAGTTCAGATAAATTTAGTGAAACAAATACTTTCCTTCAATTTTTCACAAAATACTCAACCGGCCAGGCAATGCTATGCATTCAATTTGATTTTATTGTTCCATTTGAATTTTATTGGTAATCTCATTTTATAACGTTTTGTTGGAGTCAAATCAGATATTTTGGATCAGTGTATAACCCAAAGATCTATTGTATCCCTTGGCATCAATAGAAGAAAGTTAATTGATCACATATAAGTTTTTTTTGTCAGTGGTTTTGTTTTAGCACACATGTAGGCATAACACCACCTAATATGGGTATGTGCAGCACCACCAGGTTGGGACTTTTCAATTCATCCAACAAGAACAACACGTTTTTGAGAGATATGTTCGATTCATAACTTAATCTTCTCTAATCTGAATATGATGTCCAAACAAAATGGTTTGAGCGTTTCTAAAATTGTGTCCAAAATCGATGGAGCGTTTCGAGGAAAACAAGCGAATTCTTGAGAACAGGTGATGGATTTGGACTGGAATTTTAGCAAATGAGAAGATGTGAGTTTATGATATACTACTTTGACAGAGATTGGCGTTTTTATATAAATACTATAGTTTAATTCGTAATTTTGCACAATTTGTCTTCAGATTCGTTCGATCTGTACTAAAGGGCTTTGATCAATCAAATAACAGTTTACCACCAGAAGTTGAATAAACATGACCTTTGCTCAGGGTAGTGTTCATCGAATGGTACATAATATGTCACCAACGTATGGTATGTAAGAGAAACGAGTGGAACAATACTTAAGGCTATCGTCGGATCTTCATTAGCCGCCATTTTATTTCAAGGAAAGTTTCGGGTTATACACCAACAGGCCCGAAGACAGGATTTACCCAGGGGAGCGGTTTTACCAAGGGGGAGCTTTTGCCAAGGGGGGGAGCTTTTTGACTGTTTTTGGCAAAAAAACATGTGGAAAGTGCTCAGAATTGTGAAAAATTGCATGATTTTGAAAGAATTTCTGGCCAGGGGAAACGAGTGGAACGCCCCCCCCCCTGGGTACGGTCCTGCACCAAGGCAAATGTCAGAATCCCTCACTTTGTACAGTAATGTGTTTATTTACTGATGTTATTTCATTTCGTATAATTCCGAAGTAGTTCCTTTTGATTATTTTGAATTATGTATGGAATTTTGTTGAATAATTTTTCTGATTTTCATATCTTTGTCACTGTGATCTGCTAAGCGATGGTCGATAATGTTTTCGAACTTTGTAGTTTGCCTAGAAGGGCAGAAAAACATAATTATGATTCCCAGGTAAACTCGCACACCTGTCTTTGCAATGCTTTTATCATAACGTTCTTTTTACTCGTTACTGAAGGCAATTTGGAAATTCATGGAAGGTTAGGTATTATGTATATTAGCCATGGGTTTGTAGGTTTCTTGGTTTTAAGAATCTAAAAAGCAGAAAACTTGGTGAAATGTACATCATCTTCGGCGGTTTTTTGATTTGCTAAATTGATCAACTTAGTTCAGGTATTTTGGTTAAGCAAATCCCTGATTCCTTTAGCCTAATACATCCTGGGCCTCTTATATCGGGTGGATAAAAAAACGTCCCGAACTTTGAGAGTTAATATCTCAAAAACTATAAATAGCATATAAGTGAAACTTTCAGTATTATACGTTCATCCTATTGCCTCTTAGACCTGCAAGTTTCAATGCAGTACCTTTAGTATTAACAACAGAACGTTAAAAATAAAAAGTATGGTCCAAAAATGAAATACGGGGCTATAAAGTTATGACGTCTTACCTGGGAACTTTCATCTGACACTTGTCAACCAGGTGTTGAGTTGTAAATGTGTCTTCTTGGAATAGAAAAAAACAGTTATATGTTGTCTAGCTACATTGTAGACATTGCCCAGTCAAAATATACATTCCTGAGTCTTGCAATACTGTACTGCAGATCAGGTCAAAAAGTGCAATGTTGCTACATTGTAGTCTTTGCTAAAAGTTATTCATATCACATTCACTTTAGTCTTCCAAAGATTACTGTCAAGTTGCCATCATGGTGTTTAGCAAGACTGATAAGTCAATAATTGAGGCATGTTTCATTGAAAAGGGATGGAAGGGAGCAAGGATTGCACTGGAATTTCCAGGGAAAAAGTGGAATAGAAGATCAATCAATAAAATCATCAAAAGGCTAGAGACAAAGGGATGCACTGATAGAAAGCCAGGGAGTGGTAGACCAAGAAGTGTCTGTACACAGGAGAACATTGACTATGTTGAGGAAATTATATCATCCCAAGAAGAACGACCAGGAACACACAAATCACAGCGGCAGATTGCTAAAGATTTGACCAAACATGGCCAAAAAAACTTAACCTCAAAGCTTTTAAACGGATTAAGGTGTCTAGGCGTGATGAAACTGTTAAACAGAAGAGAAAAACACGTTGCAAACGTCTGTATGACCGTTATTCAAAGGAGGATGTAAAACGCATCCTGTTTACTGATGAAAAAGACTTTACGTTGGAGATTGCAAGGAATAGACAAAATGATGTTGTCTATGGTGTGAATAAGAAGAATATTCCAGTTTCCCGATTGTATCATGAGTGTTCAAGGTTTTCAAAAAAACTAATGGTTTCAGCAGGTGTCTCCTGAAATGGAAAGACTGGAATTTATTTTATAGACACTGAGAAAACCAAGGTGAATACTCATAGTTACATAAAACTACTAGATGAAGGCCTTCTTCCAGACTGCCGCCAACAGTATCCTGACAACAACTACATTTTCCAGCAAGATGGGGCAACATCTCACACTAGTAAAATTACCCAAGATCACCTTGCAGAGGTCACACCTGCATTCATCAGAAAAGATGACTGGCCACCACAATCTCCAGATTGCAATGCAATGGATTACAGTATCTGGGACTCTCTTTCCGAGAAGGTTTATCAAGGCCGAAAGCAGAGGTTTTCAGAACAGGAAATGAAGGACTGCATTACCCAATGTTGGGAAGATATCTCCATGGAACAGATAAGGAAGGTCATTAGTTCCTGGACGAAAAGGCTTCGAGCAGTGTGTAGTGAGGATGGGGGCCCCATTGATCATTTATTTTAACTTTCAATGTAAGACGTCATAACTTTATAGCCCGGTATTTCATTTTTAGACCATACTTTTCATTTTAAACGTTATGTTGTGAATACTAAAGGTATTGCATTGAAACGTTCAGGTCTTAGAGGCAATAGGATGAACGTATAATACTGAAAGTTTCACTTATATACTTTTTATAGTTTTTGAGATATTTACTCTCAAAGTTTGGGACGTTTTTTTTATCCACCTGATACATCATAGGGAGTACCATTTTTAGGTAAGCCAAGGTTACAGGGATAAAGAAAAGAGAAATAAACATTTCTTTCCTGCGACAATTTGGATTTCGACGCACATATCTCGATACTACTCGCAGCATAGTGAGTCTCTATACATACGGTGTTAATCCCCGGGACAGTGAATACTACATGTACTTACTATCTACTTATTATCTCGCCTGATCACAGTCTGCGGTTTCATATTGTACCATTTGAGTAAGGCAATAACCAAATAACAATAGTAGTTATCACACCATTTGATAAGATACCTCACTTACAAATTGTACTATTGCGTTGCACTACGTAATACGTTGGTCAATGCCACGCAGGGTATGCATGCAATGCTACTTTTAACCCAGTTGTGACTCTTCCAACCTGGTAGAACAAACTCAGAAGCGACCCTGACGGCATAGCGAAGAAGAACGGACATAGAACTTGGCATATAAAATTGCAATTATGGCAACCAAGGTACAAAACGGGTAAGTTCCAGTTGGAGTAGAACGACCAAATGGCATAGGTATCGAATCGTGAATAATACCAATGTCGCGATTGTTGTCCTTTTTTGTTGCATACGGTTTAAAAGTCTTATTTTCTGGTTACTACATTTAATAATGTTCGTCATATTAGGAACATCGACCCAATAATCAAAAACATGAGGACCAACATCTTTTTTCAGAGAATGTATTTTACTAAACCATGATATTCGAAATCATCATCGGTGAAGTGTAAAGAACAAACTTTACAAGAAGGTTTCGACTTACATGATTTATCTTTCGATGAATAGCAATTGACCACTTTCTTTTATCATTCTCTGGAACCTTAACAAATGTTACAATCTTGTCTTTCACAACTGATGTTCCATATCAGGTGCATCTTGGAACAATGCAATTGTTTTGTGTACACATGTCTTTCGTTTCTTCGAACTCTCACTAAAACATTTATTTCGAGTTCATTTATGTAATATTGATGATATGCTGCCACAGCCTTAATTATTTGAAGAAAATTATAAATAGTACTGTCTTAACATTCATTAACATGATGTGTTATCGAGCTTGATTATTCTTCAACTACCCTTGAAATATAAGTATGTAGGATATTACAATATAAATTGACACGTCTTTGTTTGCTCCATATTATGAAAAAACAAATTGAAGTACTATCTCTCAATATTCGAAAAAAGAAAGTTCATTCTATATGTAAACAAGAAAATACATTTTAAGTTGGTTCATGATAAAATATGACAAAATCTTTTGAAGAAGGGGTATACAGGGACAAAGGGGAAATTCAAAAGTTTAGGCCATATCTTATATAATTGCGAAATCCTAAACTAGACAGTCCTTTTGAATTTCCTGATATGAGGCTCGAATCAACAATACAATATTTGAAATTGCCCTTAATTTTAGAATAATAAAGCTATGCTTGAGAAAGATCTCAAAATTAATGAAAATTCCAGTATTCCCGACCTCATAATTTAATGTCAAATTTTACCTTGGTGAATATTTAAGAGTTAGAACCCAGATAAGCTGAGATAGGGCCCATCAAGTGCAGGGACCCCATTATGCTATAAATTGCGTCAGAATTTTCGTTTTCAATAGAAATGAGATTTGATATTTGAAAATAGTGAGCATCTTTTTAAACATGCCTTTATACTGTTATAAGCATACTTATTAATGCTATAATTAATTCCAAAGGAGCTCATGCATTCTTTTTTTAAATCATTTATTTCAGTTAAACATAATTATTTACAGGTATGGTACAAAGATGAGGTTTTGAATTCAAAAAGAGTATTTATAATGCTCACACATTTTTCAATATACCATTTGTGGATAGATAAAGTCCATGTGCAGTATGGCAAGTGATTTTAGACAGTCATATCTTTCACCATGGGTATTTTCTGGGTATAAATACAGTGGTTTTTATTAAAAATGTTTTCTTTAAAGTGAAGTCCGCATGATAGTAAAATATCTATCCAAATTTCTAAATAAATATGAATTAGGACCCCACCTTGTCACTTTTTAAAAAATGTAAGGCCTATTTTCTAAAAAGAGGATCTTGTTTTTCTCAATTTAAATGTATCAAAAGCTTCTTCTACACTATATTAATAACTTCTGAAAAGGGGATGGGTATTGAAATGCGATAAAGTTAAAAACCACATTTCCCATGTTATTTTTCCACATCCATTGTTTTCAGCATGATTTTGGTCATCGAAAATTGATATCTTCAAAACTAGACTTCAATACCATTCTATTTTTGAAGATGTTTTAGACCCCTTGTTGAATAATGATTTCATGCAATAAAAATCAGAAAAAGAAGATCCTCTTTTGAGCAAATAAATGCAACATTTTGAAAACATTGTCGAAGTGGGGTCCCTATTTATAATTTCTCGATTGTTCGATTGATATTTTTATCATCCTGGGGACTTCACTTGAAAGAAAACATATTGTTTTGATAAAAAACACTGTATTTATGCTACTCAAAAAGTACTCATGGTGAAAGATATGACCGTCTAAAATCACTTGCAATACTGCACATTGACCTTTGCTATCAGTATATTTTTGTAATTATTTACTTTACCTATTCCATATATTTTTAAGTACTGCAAATCTGTATCGTTGAAGTCTAAAGTTTCTTCAGGAACTACATTTTGATATTCTAATATAATCTCACTTTTGAGTGTTTGTTTCAAAGTTTGATATTGCATCCATGTTTTAGCATTTCTGCCTGCTGATGAAACATCATGAGAAATGATCTGGCCATTTTTGTAAACATCACATATAAAATTTATTCCACACATTCTTAACAAATGGTATAGGTGACTTGCCCGTAGCCAGCTTTTACCAGGAGGGGGAGCTTTTTTCCAAGGGAGGGGGAGCTTTTTCACAATTTTGGCTAAAAATCATGTGTAAAATTCTCAGAATGGTGAAAAACTGCATGATTTTGAAAGAATTTCTGGCCAGGGGGGGGACTTCCGCTCCCCCAGCTCCCCCTCTGGCTACGGGCCTGGGTGATTCACAACATATCAAGGTTAAGTGGAATCCATCATGCCAAATATTTGACCTTTGACTTCTACCCACACTTTATAAACATTCTCTTCATACTTGCTAGGTAAGTAATGATATTGCATAAAGCCATGTTAAAGAAAAGAATTGGCTTGTCCGAAAGAGTTCGGCAAAAATCCGTTTGAAAAAATCAATTTTTTGTCTAGAGCTGCTGACATTGCGTTTGGTGATGGGGCGAAGACCGCAGATGATGCGCATGCGCTGTTTGTAAAGGTGTCTAACGTAAACCTCACACAAAAAGACGTTGATAACATATATGACAATTGGGCAGCAACTTACGACAAGGTACATTTACATGTGTATTTTATATTTATAGTATATATATACAGGGAGTCAAATGGCGTTGTGCCCCCCCCCCCCCCATCCACAGCATAAACTGGGAAAGGTACACACAAATTCAATTGCAGTTAAAGTGTGAAAAGATGAAGATACATAATAGAAAATAAGTCATTTCTTAAATTTCATTTAAAAGTGAGTATGACCATCTTAGGCAGCCTAAAATGGCTGCCAGTCAAGCTGGATATGAAGTTAAAGGGGCATGGAAAAGAGCTGCAGTGTCTTTGTAAGCTTCAGCTTCCACAAGTTGCTATGTTTTATCCATCAATATGGACCCCATGTGCTCTGCGGTTTTCAAGTCGGAGTTGTTGCTTGGGTATTATTACCACCTTACCGGGCCTGTTCTAGGGGTATTAGTGCTAGTTTAGAAGGCATTGATTTTACTATAATGATCTGAGCAGTATGTGACGTCATAGTGGTTGTATTGCCGGTCAATAATGCATTAACGACCGGCAATTTTTCCCGGGAAATGAGATATCGTTAACGTTCAGTTCTTGTTATTTCAATTATTGCCCTTCGAAATGACCTTGTTGTACTATTCATCGAGACCAAAAAAGTCTATGCACCATACAGACTGTATAGTTGCTTCTCCTAGTTTATGCTGTGGAAGGGGGCACAACGCCATTTACACCCTGTATATGGCTTTCAATAGTTTGATCCCTGTATAAGAGGTAACGGAGCGGCATATTACCAGTTAATTACGATGAATATATTTATAATATCATTGTCACATTCCTCACTCTCTATTCCACTAGTCCATCGGGCTTCGTGGAATATCACTTGTGAAAGATGCACATGTGTTCACCTCAATGGTATTAAATATTTGTAGTTTAATCTTTTTATTTATTTTTTTCTTTGAAAAGACATGTTATTCTTGCTCATCAATCAATTACTTTATCTAGTACGAAGTACGAATTTAAGAATAACGTTTTTAAATACAGAGAAATATGACTATTATTTTTAAAGTTCCAAATATTGTACACATTGAATTTTTCTTAATTCAGGATCTTTATCTCAATGGTTTCAACACCTCAACACCATTGGCTGCTGCAAGACAGTTGGCAGAATACGTGAAAGATAAGAGTACACCAGTCATGGATTTTGCTGCTGGTACTGGTATTGTTGGAGGAGAGGTAAGCACTATATCTGGTACATATTTTGCTGATCGAATATTCTTGTCTGTTTTTTCTTATTTCTGTTATGTAGATATGCAGAACTAAAAAGTAAGTCGATATTAGAGCATAATGCACAATTTGTCAGAAGTACTTAACGAGGCGTATAGCCTTTTTATTTTTTCGTGAAGCCACTTAGTAAAATTACCAATTCTCTGCAACCTGATGTCCAATCAAGATCATTGAAGTATCTTTGTGTTCCTGGCACGTTTGAGCGTCCGGGAACAGTTTGCACGCAAAATTGACGTAATTCATGACTGAAATCGGGAGGACAAAGTTTGAGACTCACAAACTTGAGTCTTGAGTTGCCTTGAGTTCAACATGACTGACACGCTCATCGCCTCCGTAGACCAATTTCAGTTTGTTAGATGTCGTCACGTGCTCATCATTCAAGTATCTGTTTATCGCTACTTGTATTTGGATCCTGTTTTCATTGTTATTTGGACAAAACAACGTAAAGTGCTCTAAAGTCTCAACTTCATGCTGACACAGTTCACAGTCTATCCCGCATTGGAATTCCCTCCCATTCTCCAACGTTTTACATGTCACGTAGACCAGTGCCAGGGATTGTACTTTACTTGTTTACATGAACGTAAATCATTACATGAACTCTGGATTCTTACGGGTTTTATCTGGGTTTGTATTGTCTTATTTGGGCTTTTCGACTTTAAAACAAACCTTACCTAAATGAATTAATGTCTCGGGAACATTTTTGTAAATAGTTATTATAAAAAATTCTGAAAGAATGTCACGTATTTTTGTCTTCTCGATTTCACTCATGAATTACGTCAGTTAGGTGGACGTTGTCATTAAACGTGTCAGGAATACACAGAGACTCGAATGATGTTGATTGGACATCAGGGTGCAGATAAATCGTAATTTTACTGAGTGGCTTCACGAAAAAAATAAACAGCACTTTAGGCCACCTTAAACCTACTTGAAACTGAAACAGTTCCCATGCCACACAAATTAGAAAGATAAAAACAGTGAATAAGTAGCTGGGAGTATAATTTTTGCGTAGAATATACTTTATGTACTGGTCAGTAGTATTCTTCATCAAATGACGTCATTGCTCTTTCAATTCGGTATCTCTTTATTTGAGGCCAGCTATTTTCATTTAACTCACTTTAATAATTTAATAATTGGGATCTGCTCTAAAATTCCTTCAATTGATAGCCGTGCATGTACTTCGAAGAGATCAGACCATTTTGAATCTTACAAGGCCAGAATCAGAAAAAAGCTATACAATATTTTCAATCTATTCTAAATTGCCTTTCTAAATGAAGACTTTTATTTGAATTCTATAGAATGTCCAATGTATTGATAAAAACCCTATCTTTCATTTGACACCAAAAACAGCTCAAACGGACCACATCAAAGCTTACAATAATTGATCAAAAAATATTTTCAATTTATCAAGCTTTTATCAATGTCATTGAAAGATGGCGAAGTTGTTTGTATTACATGATACATTCATCTTTATAGAAGTGTCGCCATATTTTTAATCAAAAGAAATTAAAAAACATGCACTTTGTTTAGCTTGCGCTAATGTGCATGCATGTCTAATGATCTCTCAACTTCAAATGTTTTTTATGTGAGTTATTTTTTTTGGTTCAATATTAAAGCAAATCAGACTTTGTGTCATATTTGAGCGAGTGTGTAATATGTTTCAATGATCATTTTTTCCTTTCTTCTAAATTAAGTAAGCATTCGACATTGCCACATTTATGATCTATCAAAGTATAATATAGCCATGCTTTGAAGAGACATCTATGTTATTGAGAATTCCTGCTCTCTGCAGCCATTTTGAATTTTCTGAGGCAGGAATCTGAAAAGCAATATCATAATTGGGATCTGCTCTAAAATTCCTCCAATTTGAGTTAATATAGCAATGCATGTACTACCAAAATTTCAAACTAAAACATTTATTGCTTTAGTTTAAAATGAAAAACTATTCCTGAAAATGTTCTGCCTTTCTAATAATTTAAAATAATTGTTGTGTACATCTTTTCACCAATATACATCTTTCTATCAAATATGAAGAAGACCCGTGCACTAGTATGCCAAAATTCGTTAGTTAGAATAATGAATAATAGGGAGTTAGTTAATATTATGGTGTTAAGAAATCAAAAGAAAAGTGAATAAAAAATTGCCACAGAGAAGTTTGTTAAACATGTCTTTAACATTTGTTTTTTTAGTTGAAGAGGTTGGGGTTCACTCACATAGACGCATTGGATGCCTGTCAAGCTATGCTGGACAAGGCCGTGGGGAAAAATATCTATAAAAGGCTTATATGTGACTATATGGGACCAAACAGATTGGATATTGAGGACAGTATGTGAAACACTAAAATGACATATATTCGAACACGAGCGCCATTTTCTATGTGTTATTTGTCGACGATAAGAAAAAGATAAATAACGACATTTAAACGTGGAAAGGAGCACGTAGGTTATCGCAAACAATTTCAAACGATTCTAACTTGAATTATGAATATTGTCTGATCATTAACATTGGTATATCTTTTAGATCCATTCATTATCTTCAAGAAAAGTATATATATTGATAAATTAGTTAATCAGACCTAAGTGATATTGAAGGGGCAATGGACCTATCAACATACTTTTTCAAAAATGTTGACCTAATTTTCACCAACCTTTTATTATATTGTTGAATGCATAATTAGAATGTGCTTTGAGACATGTTCGATTTCTTAAAAGGAAAAGTTGATTGCTCCAGGGACTTTAAAGATACTGAATTTGGATGACCAAAATGAACTGAAACCAATGGATAGCATGAGATTTTTCAATGGAGAAATAACATGGGGAACACTTATTTTAAAGCAATTAAGTTTTTCTTTCAAGAACTATTTGATACATCAAAATAGAGAATAGTAATGCATTAAACATTGTAAAAAATGATTGCATTTTTAGTGAAAATGGGGTCAACATCTTTGAAAAAGTGTGTTGATGGGTTGATTGCTAGTTAAATACTTCAGAGTTTGTTTGACTTTATTATTACTGTATATAATTTTCTTTGAGATAATGAATTGATCGAAAAGAAAAAACCTGTCTTCATTGTCAGAAAATAGGCATAATCCAAGATACAACCTTCTGAAATTGTTTGCGATAACCTACGTGCTCCTTTGGATTTATTTCAATTCCTCTGTTTACAGCGCAGAATTGTTTTGCATGATGCAAGTATTCTCTTGTTAGATCGTTTTCTGCCGACCCAATCGCTTCATGTCTACAGTATTATATAATATTTTAGATACGTATGGGGGTGCTGTGGCGACTGCTTGCTTTGTAACTGGTCACGCCAGACAAGACTGTTTCTTAGAAATCATAAGAGTCCTTAAGCCAGGTAAGATATGATATATAATATTATAGCACCCCACAGGAAATCTTGTCTTCGAAATTAAATAGTGTCACTAATTTTTACTTATTTTCCATGAAAGGTCCGTGAGTTGTTTGTAGAATGAATCTGGGGAGCTTTTTCATGCATTCCGCTTGTGTTTTTCATCTAAAAAACATCAATACACTTTAAAATATTTTATTGACTATAAGATTGCACCATATAATCCTAAAAAATATTTCTCATTTTCAAGGATTATATATGGATTAACACCCAGGTATTGTTATTTCTCAAACTTCAGAGGGCTGGGAATCATTATTACGGTCGCTTTTGAATAATATTTATGCTGTTTTAAATAGGTTTCATGTTTGCCAATAATTTCTCAAATTGTGTAAACGGTAACCCTTCCTTGATCCCAAGAATTTTCTCTTGTAATCCAATGGTATAGTTCCAAGCAGATTTTGAGATAATAGGAAAGTCAATCATTAGTACACATCTTATTGGGTTGTTTAGGTTTAGATCACAAACTTTTTATTCACATCGTCGTAACTTTATTCATTCATATATATCCGGGTATGGGTTTAAATAAAGATAATCTTTGAGAGCCCTGTATTAACAACTCTATAAATAGCATGACTGTGAATGTTGTTGAATATTAGAGTCAATGTCTTCTATTTATCGGTATTGCTGTTCAGGAAATTGAAAAAACTATCTATTGCGACCCTGACAGGCTCTGCGCTGGGCAACATAACTCTTTGATATCCTATTTGCAAAATCAGTTCCCCCTGTATGTTCATAAAAAACTGAAGTCTCCTATTTGCTGCAAGATATCATTTTAGTGCTTGAAGATACTCCTCAAATGACAAAAGACCAACAATCATGCAACCATACTCGTCCTTTGGTGAGTCAAGTGGATGCTATCTGCATACACTCTGCTGGATGGCTTTATTGAACAATTCTCCAGGATGTTCAATATGGAGTAGCATAACTACATTGATACTGGCTTTTTCCAGTTTTGTAAAGTATGCAGTTGTAGGGTTGATCATGAGAGACTTTGAAGCAAATCTGGATCCTTTTATACCTTCATACTTTTCAGAATTTACATTTTTGCAAGAAATCGAAAATCAATCCAAAAACTCTTTTGGTCACCATAACCTCCAGATGTGGCATTTAAAAAAACAAAATTTGAGTGTTAGAAATAGTGCAAAGAACATGTGTTCCAAATTTGATAAAAGAGGTGTAAAAATAAGTGACAATAGGTAATTTTGAAGTTCGCGACAAAATTTCCAGTGAGGTACTATCATTACGTATTAACGTGTTTTTGGCATGATAATTTAGGGCCTCTAATAAAGGAGCTGGTAGCGCACTATAATTCACCAAATATTAACATTCCTACATTTTGTTTCGTATTCATCATTATTATCACTGGTTACATAGACGTTACGTCTTTATGTAGCTGGATCATTCTGGTTTCCTTGGCACTCAGGGTTAGGCAAAAATATATGACTAGTAGCTAGCCAGCCACGAGCAAATATATTCAGCGGCTCCACTAATCGTATGAGCATTCATAACGATTTGATTGTATTGTGTTGTGTTGTCCTGGTTGCCGAAGTTGAGAATTCTCACTCGATTCTTGGTGAAAATTATGACAATAAAAATTTCCATCAATTGAAGTTCATCCATTTTGAACCAAGACGTACATTGTAACGACTATATAACCAGGTGGGGGCCGGTGATTATGGCCGACCAATGTACCCCTGGCTTATGGCCCGAATTAAGCCTGTCATTAACAGTGGTCAAAAAAGTGATAAACTATAGTCCATTTAAATATAGGATCATCAAATCCTATGATAATTGAGAGATGTGAGAAATTCATTCCACCTTGGTGGGAATCAAACCGACAACCTTACGATTATATCCGACTGCTTTGCTAGAATTATTTTGATTCTTAAAAAGCTATTGTTGAGATTTCAAAATTCATGATTCAAAATGTGTTTTATCCCTTTAGGTGGCATACTGATTATCCAATTAAACAAAGCTGGCTTGGCTAAACCCTATTTGGCTGGATTTGAGGACACGTTAAAAGCTCACGAGGATAACAAATTATGGACATTGCTGAAAAGAGAATTGATTCCATATGTAGTAGGAGAGGAAGATGGTTTGAGATTCGTTTATAGAATTAACTAGATGAGAATTCTCTACCACGCATATACGCATTGAACTGTGGAGTATAAAAAAACATATAAAACATATAAAAACATATTGCAAATACAGACAACAGAACTGTTAGTTGTAGTAACAAATAATGAATCAGATCATTAACATAAACCTCGAAACTCACATTTTTGACCGGTGCCAAAAGGTAGTTAAATGCTTCCCCTCAGGTAGTGTGTACTTTATGAAATAATAAATGTATAACATATACCCATCATACACATGCGTATCTTGTTTGTTGCAGTATTTATATCGCCATTCACACTGTTCCACAACTAGTTACTTTGACAGAACGTCAATCTAGCAAAATGGTTGAACTTATACTGGTTACGAGTTTTTTGTTTTCTCGATCTAAACCTACTAAGTCAAGTTCCAGATTATAATTTTGCACAAAGCTAGAAAATATAGTCTTGCTTTAGAAGTTTCTTAGATTTGGAATATGTTTTGTTAATGAAGTTGCAATTCATATAATTATTCCCTCGCTTTTGTAACATTGACGAAAGTCCATTATATTACCAATGTATGTTACTTAGACGACTTACGTCAATGTAACAAAAGCGATGGTCTTAATGTATAAATTACATTTATAAATCAAATTCCAAACCGAGAGCTTTTCTAATTGTGCCAAATGATAATCCGCAACTTGACTTATAAGTAGGTTTAAATCGAAAAAACAAAAAACACGTATTCAGGAAGTTCATCCATTTTGTTACATTGACGGTCCGTCAAAGTAGTTTTTAACAGTGATTTAAAGGCGTAGCTAGCCCATTTTGCCAGAGTACGGCCTTCAGATATCCCGTTTTTACCAATATCAACCAAAAGGGATTCCGGAAAATACGGGTACTTTATCAAGCGAAGACCCCCGGGTGATCAGATGATGGGTGACACACTCACTACAACCTCTGCTATGTATTATCCATGTAGTATACAGGGTGATTTGCCAAGTATCATCGTTCAATTTACAAATGGGAAAAAGTTACAGGCATTTCAAAACTTAGTGTTTGGCCAAAATTAAAGTTAAAATCAGTATCCTGGAAACACCGCAAACCTGAATGTGACCAAAAATATGGGTGATATCATTATAGAGAGGATGGATATTGAGTTGTAAAAAGAGGTCGGTAAATAAGGGCAGATACTCCCAGGAAACTCTTCTAAAATGCCTTAAAAAGGTTTTATTAGGATTATTTAATGCCATACCCCTATTTGCAGTGTATTTAAGGCCATATCGGGAGAGAATTGCTACTGTTAATATGGCCAAGGGAGACGCGGCGACTTTTAATTTTCTGTAAAACTAAACTTTAATTTTGGTAAAACAGTACATTTTGAAATGTATTTAACAATTTCCCATTTGTGAGTTGAACCATGATACTTAGCAAATCAATGTAACGTTGCACAAGCTTTAAAATGATATATGATACATACTATGGGAACATTGTTGTATGTCTACCTAGGGGGGGGGGGGGGAGGGGCATACTTTTGGGACACCCTATACATGTCCGCTTTAAGGTGAATATGTTTGACATCAATGGTCTAAAACTTATTTATGATTTGATTGTTCATGCTTTTGATATCAAATATTTATATTATGTCCACTATATTTTACCCATTGCATTCGTTCGACTTCGCTTCTAATAAGAGAGCTTCATCTTCATCTTTAGTTTATAACTAGAATCGGCGTGCAGGGTAACTATATTTTAACTTAAACTGTATAGGGGTTCATTGTTTTAAGCTCTTTGTGGTTATTCTGTGTGTTCAGTGTATATTTATGGTTTCCAATTATCACCATTTAGTGTGATCACTGTGCTAACTTTTATTTCAATACTATATCTAGTACCGCGTGACACAAAAAATGACACCCACTCACAAAATGTTTAATAATTTTTTGTCTGAAGATATTCTGATTTTTTCGCACATTAATATCACACTCCATTTTGCAACTCCACGAGAAGTTTCAGATGACTAGCTCGCCTAGATTAACATTTATGAGCGTTACAAAATCTGTCGTCTATTCCACAACTGGATCTTAAACAAAAAAATGACACCCACCTTTTGTAACATTATTTTGGAAATAGGTTATTATGATTCTATCAATGACAACTACATTATTTTTGTCTTTAATTGAATGGACCTCATTTCCATGAAAGTCACACTTATTATAGTGTTTACAAGGTTATGTTACAGAAGCCGGGTGGCATTTTTGTGTAGAATCCATGTGTGTCTGCAACGGAATAGAAGACATTTAGAGAAAATGTTGTATGCTCATAAAATTTGACCCACTTGAGCTACACATCTGAAATTTCTCGAGGTGCTTTCGCATTATGTCTACTTATAATGTCTACTAGTGTTTATGAATCTCTTATTTAGAATTTTATTTCCTCCTCTTGTACATTACTTCACTTGATTCCATGTATGTAAATCCGTTTTTGGCAAATAAAGCATTTAATAAAATACTTTAAATGTGCCAAAGGACGGATATATATATTAATAAACAAATAAGTAAGCAACGTAAGGTTGACCTGACGAAAAACGAAAAATTTAAGTCCATTGACCATATTGTAACAACAACAATTATAAAATAATTAAATAGTAAGATAAGGTTGGAAATACAGAGTCCAAAAACCAAATTCAATCTACTCAAGGACACATCTTCCCCAAGCTTGATGTTCCTTTTGTTGCAATTGTGGGACCCTGACGAAGTGGTAGCACCCCCTGGTTTGGCCATAGACCACCTAAGGAGGGTGTGCAGCTGTAAAACTTGGTGTCCCCTATCATGTATGGCTTCCTGGTCAACTCAACCCCAAGTCAACTCAACCCAAGTCAACTCAACCCTTAGTCAAGTCGACCCCAAGTCAACTCAACCCTTAGTCAAGTCAGCCCCAAGTCATTTCAACCCATGGTCAACTCAACCCTTATTCAACTCGACCCCAATGATTCTACTTGTTTTCTAGTAGGTTACAATTCATTATTCAAACAATGTATCATTTAGTATCATCAGTCTACTGCGCTAATAATTTTTTTATGAAAAATATAGAAATAACATCCAAATTAAATTGTGGATATTCAAAAGAGGACATTTAAATCTACAATATGTAAAAATATAAAAATTCTCCAATCAGGTGTAACATGCAGTAGACTGATGAACTTCGTTCTCCAAACCGAGATTAGTCGTTTTTACAAAAATCATGAATCCCATTGTTTGTGCAGTATTGATTTCAAATCTTACTTAAAAATATAAACATTTCCATGGAGTATAGATTCTGTTAAAATATATATATCAACCAAGAATTATTTTGATGAATAAATATCATATTCATAAAATTATAGATTGTTAAATTAAAAGTGTTGAGCATAAACTTCTCTAGATAACAATATCATTTGAAATTTTCAAATTAATCCACCTAACTTTTATACGACGTACAACCTATAAATTTGAGAGGTTAAGCTTTGCATATATCATCGAAACTGAACCTGTGCGTATCACTCGACCATATACAAATTCATGTAGCCTTCTCATATAAATAGCCGTTCAAATCCAGTGTTTGTTTAGACTACACCATAGCGTGTAATGATTCTATAGTATGTCATTGATGCGGTTTTATAGCTGGTTTTCTAATACATATTTTAAACGAGCTCGTTTCGTAAGATTTTTGGCGCTAAATCATGCATGACATACATCATCGTGTTCAGCAAGAATTCAACTGTGCATCGAAATCAAAATTGACAGCATAGTGTTCAATAGACACGAGTAAAATGGTTCCCGTTGACCCAACGTCAAATTTCAAATCTCCCGTTCTAAACCCGAAACTCTGAAGCTGAAAGAGTATCTGAAGTAGACTAAGCGCGCATAAAACTATGAGCGCTCGATACATTCCTTTGTTAATTTTTGTACTTTGCGTTCACGGTTACGTTGTGAAAAACATCGTTAGCTTAACCTCTCCACTCAGAAAATTAGACGTACAACCTATAAATTCAGAAAATTACTTTACAATTCATTCATATATCTTTTTCATTTTTTCATAATTCTTTAACATCATAATGAAAGGTACATTAATTTTTTTTATAGATATTTAAATATGCAGGGGTCGAGTTTACTGGAAGCAATGCTCGATCTTAAATGAAAGCTTGTTTACAAATAAGTTTGACCTTATTAGGTCACCGGGTCATAGAAGCACATGTTGGTGTTGTGAAATACTACACTCAACATTACTAAGGCTTGAGTTGACCAAGGGTTGAGATGACTTGGGGTTGAGTTGACTAAGGATTAAGATGACTTGGGGTCGACTTGACTAAGGGTTGACTTGACTTGGGGTCGACTTGACTAAGGGTTGAGTTGACCAGTATATATCGGGTGTCCCAAAAAATGAGACACCTTTTGCCAAGTATTTTCTCGGCAACAAATAGACCAAATTCACTGATAATTTTTACAAATTAGCCTGAGAGTATCATTAGCAAGTTGTACAAATATAAAAAAGATCAAGTAAATATTCTGCGAGGAATAAGAGATTCAAAATAGCATGTCAAAAATCCCCATACCGGAGGTCTGCGATGAGACCTCTATAATGTTTGTACCAGCTATCAGGTGATATCATTTGTAAATAAGTCAAAATAGCTTGTCTGTGTGTCATGTCTACTTAATTCATTTCATTCTTCCCAAATATCCCAAATCCCTTCATTCTCAAAAATTCATTGGAGGTGATATTGTTAGAATAAATATGGAAAGGTATTTTGCATGAAAAGGATTAATAAGTGTGATTTACATCGATATTGGTTATTTTTACATACTGTTTTTAATCCAACAATACACACATAATTATGAAGCCAATCTCTTACATTTTCATGGCATGAGCAAAAGATACCCTAAAGTTTCTCAAGTAAAGTTTTCAAATAATTTTACTTACCCATTGCTGAGAAATCACTTGTCAAATTCTTCCAATTTTTGGGTACAAACGCGATGAAAATTCTGATTGTATTGCTCCGGTATAGGACATTTTGACATGCTATCTTTCTTAGTTCTCACATAACATTTATCTGATCTTTGTCATATTTCTGTACCTTTCTTACGATACTTTAGGGCTACTTTGTACAAATTTACAAAAAAATTGGCTGATCAGTTGCCGAGAAAATACTTGGCAAAAAGTGTCTCATTTTTTTGGGACACCCGATATATGAATCGCGATAACACGATTTATCAAAAAGAACTTCCCAATTTGGCCCAAAGAAAACAAGATAGCCGTCCAAAAGTCTTCTGAACAAATTTGAAGAAAATCCAATAAGTGATTTTCCTGGAATCGCGATGGAACGCCCCATGATCGGAACGCCCCATGATCGCGATAAAACCATAAACATGACGACTTTATCCCAATGATTGTGTAATAAACAGCTTTTACATGGCTGAATGGTGTGCAGCTGATAATGTAAAATCTTTCTTCTTCTTAACATGTAAATGAAGATTGAATATGTAGCATTAATTTTTTATATATAATTTTACCCTAAACATACATAAGCTCGATATCCTAGCTCCTGGATAGAGCATTTACAACATTATCAATTATAAAAACACGGCCTATTCAATATATGTACTTTACATATACCAATACTTTTACTTTTTTATTTTTTTTGCTGAATCTAATAATTGCAATTACAACTAAAAGTGAAGAAAGAAATTATCAAGAATGGGATAGGAAAGAAGAGAGATGCGGGTATATCATATCATGTACATCATTTTCTGTCACTTTCTATCATTTTTATATAATGTACTTTTCAGTCCTGCGTATCATCATGCGCAAATTACTTAATCCTATACACAAATCTTAAATAATCCCCGGTACCAACTGAAGAAGAAACTAGTTCTTTCTTAATCAAAGTCCATAAATTGTTGTCCTCGTGAGTATTTAGTGTATCGTCAAATCCAATCAAACATGTGCTAGAGACTTTAGCGTTTGTTATTTGGAAAACCAATGTGCCACCTAAAAACAAAGTCTTATGAAATATAAAAGAAGATGCAACATCTCTACTCTTAGACACAAGAGGACAAGACTATGAGTACGAATTTAAGAAGATGAAATAATTTATTTACTTTGTTGTGAACTGTTGTTACTTTTTGGGAAACCTTAAATTATACTATCGAGTATTTGAGTATTCGAATGTTTTCCTAGATAAGTCGTTCTTACGTACAGTTTAAGACAGAAATGGGATTGATGATTAATTACCTGGCTTAATGACTCTTATGATTTCCAAGAAACAGTCTTGTTTAGCATGCCCCTCTCCAAAGCAACCAGTCGCCACAGCGCCACTGTAGGTATCTTATAATACGGAATAGAAAAGTTTTAATGGAGAGAATGCATACATTTCATATTGCACACCCGTAACCAGCGGGAGTCGGGGTTCGATAATCACCTTTCAAGTGATTTAGGCTAAAATGGTCAAATTTTTACATTCCTTGAATTATTTAAAAAGTGACCCCCATCCTTGGCAAAAGCTGGCTACGGACCTGATGTGTTTTCTTGAATCAAACCATGGTTCATTTATCCAAACCAATCCAATCCAATCATAATGCTAGTTAAATTTTAAGTTATGATCCTAGAGCCATGCACATATCATAACTGGCATAAACACATCTCTCATCGATTAAAGGATATGAACCCCTTCTAACTTTGATTTATTCAATTTTTGTATATGAGTGAGAGAGTAGTGATCAAATTCAGCGCACTGCATGTAATAGGCCATGTGCAGTGTAGAACATTGCATGGGTATCATGGAGGAGAATTTGTACGCTAGCAGGTTGCAAAAGTATCACAAAATAATAAATTGTTTTATTTAAAAGAATAGTACATGTACATTTGTATATTTTTTTAGATGATGGAAGCTATCAAAAGCTGTCAAAAAATGTCTTTTGTGTCACACTTTTTTCGATAGCTTGTCAAATGTTCATTCGTTGAAAATAATATAAAAATGTACTCATCTTTTGTTACAACTGTACATTCTTTGAAATAAGATACGACTCGTTCTATTTTGTTTTTACCTAATTGGAGTTTAAGAATGGCTAAGAATAATTTCGCGACAACACTACTTGAGATTCAATTAATTTCTCAACTAACAGAACAAAATCAAAATTCTTTCTTGAGTATCTCGAGATAAAATGTAGATACTAGTTACAAAGTCTGTTAATAAATGTAGATATTATTTGTTGAAATAAAGTTTACAAGAAATGCCACATGTCGCGAATCATGATGTGCACCTTTTATTTGACTACGAGATATAGAGCTCAATGACATTTTAAGATAAGCCCTACTTAAGTTGTTCCCTCTTGTTGATTTAGCACTCATTTTGATACACATTCCTACAAACGTTTTCACCTGTTGAGCACCTGTCTACATTACTGTTTACTTATTTATGAAGGGTCTGGCAGGGGTCCATAAAATTAAAAATTGGGAAATATTAAATCTTGATATTTTTTAAAGTTTACAACTGAAAATGATACTTTCTGTCCGTCTGTATTTTTTGTTCAAATTTTAAAAATAATGAACACATTTATTTCATCTTCATTGCACACTTATATCGTTCTTCAGGGTTTGACAAGTAAGAGAATACTATTTATGTGATGTTAAATCCATGTTTTTTGATTATCTTTATCATTGCTGTTCCCAAGGGTTGCACTTATTGCCACACCTATTTTGATTAATTTTCTTGTTATTTTTTATTCGTGGTCATGGACATGGACATACATAAATGTACACGCCCGTCGAATGGGGGATGATGGGGTGAGTTGGGTGCGAATGCACCTCCTAAGGCACCCCCTCACTAAAATTGAATAGCCCCTCACTGAATAACATTTTACCTTTGCACCCTCCTACCAGAAACAGCGAAATTAAACATAAAAAGTGTAAAAAATCATCAAATAGTACCCCTACCCAAACAATTGAAAAGTAACAATTCTGAACTTTATTCTGTTGTCTCTTACCCTTAAAGTATTGTATTGTAAAGTATCTCATACTTGAGTGGGTTTGGGGTAGATATCACCCGGGAATATATATCGTATCTGAGGAGCGGGCAGGATATATTGTATATGTCCCGCTCCAGGCCAAATGCGGGCAGATATAATATATCCATCCCGCTCCCGGGAATTTTTCAAAATTTTAAAAAAGTTCAAATATCAAAAGTTTTAATTTTTTAATTTTAAAATTTAAATTTTTTAAGTTTAAATGTTACAGTTTCATTGTATTGAACAAAAAGAATATTACGAAAATGTTAAATATAAATATCTTTTGTCATTTGAAAAAGGTGGAAAAGGCTATATCTACCCTAAACCCACTCAAGCATGAGATACACCAGTTATGCACGGTCGGTTTAGATACATGGAATATCCCTTTGGATATACAATACATCTTCCCTCGGTCCCTTCGGTCCCTCGGGAAAAAATATATTGTATATCCCTCGGGATATTCCCTGTATCCAAAACCTCCCAGTACATAACCCCTATGTATCTGTCAAGTGTCATCATAAATTAGGTATAAATCCAATGTATATAATTTCGAATCTTCGAAAATATTGACTTTGCATGGGGATATCATCATTTATCCCATACTTGGACGTGTTACGGGTACATAGAGCCGGTTTGCAAAAACTTATATTTTCATCAGCGGGCAGATATAGCTTTACGTCCCTCTCCGAGCGGGCAGATATAGTACAGGGTGATCATTAAGTTCTGGGAATTAGTCTGTTATTTCAAGATTTCTCAACAATTTGAGTTGAAATTTTTAGCAGGTGTACATTAGACAATTCTGAATTGACAGACACGGTTTCATATACATATGGCTTCTACAGTTTATTTTATTATAATTATAAAAAAAGTAAAAGTGGTCTGCGGGTCAGCAAATTTTGACTGATGTTAATCTGAAAATTTCCAGCTAAAACATATTTATCTTGCCCAGATAGTTGCATCAAACTACTTGTACTAGAGGCAGACAAGCACTCTTGAAGTCATTTATCCAAAAGTATACTTCAGTGCTGATAGGATTATTTCATTTACAATAGGTTCTATTAGCCTGGATGAACATGCATTGTTGACAAACCTAGTCCATAAAGACGTGTCCAGTCCTCCCTTTGGTATCCCTTGAAGATTTGCTCAAGCCTTTGAAATCACTCCCTTATCAGAGTCAAACTTAAGACCTTTCATATGATGCTTCAACACCCCAAATGTAGTAAAGCCTAATGGTGCCCCATCTGGTGAATATTATGTGGTGAATTTGGGGCATTAACAACTTGTGTGAACCCTAATTCTTCAAGAGTAGTATGGGCAGTTTGAGCAGAGGGAAGGAGCAAAGCCATAATGGAAGATAAACTCCCTGCTATTTTGAGTCATGATTGTGACTTTGAGAGTCTGACGAATCATAATAAAATAGAGCAAAGTACACTCTTTTATTACAATACAGATGTTACTTTAAGTAGCGGTCACACTAGCCGTGTAGGCTCACCGTTCGCCACCGTGTGGCTAATTATGGCCAGACGGCGGTGCACGGTATGGCCACACGGTGGGTCGTTTCCCGCCCGTTGAGAAACGTTCAGGGAACGTTGCCGTCCATCCACACCCGGCGAATTTTTTGAGCATGCTCAAAACTTTTCCCGTTTGAGTAACGTTCGGTTGCGAACGGTGATAGCGGTACGGGAATGGTATAAGGACGGTGCCGCCGTTAAGGACACGTCCGCAGAGCGGTAATGGGACGAGGGTGGACGTTGACTCTATCAGTGACGGGCTGCGAACGAGAGTGTACCGCTTGGGTACCTTCCGATAAACGAGGTTCAAACGGGGGTTTGAAAGGTCACTTAAAAAGGATTTTCACGGTACCAGCCGCTTAACGCTTAGGTAACAGTCTCTAAACATCCTATTACCGTGAACTCGCAATTGTACCGCCTCGTGACGCAGTGTTGTCACCGTGTTCTGCTGTTTCAACAATTTTGCCTCCAGTTTATTTAAATATTCAGGTATTGTCCAAGGTTTTGTCCCGTAACTCGAGACATCAATTCTTCGACTTTCTCATTTGTACTTTGAAGCCACAAATCCACTCAAACCACTTTGACAGAGATTCTTTTGAAGACACTGAGAAAAACAAGTTACAAATATATTTCTTTTATCATACACGAAGAAAATAAATAAATTGCAAAAATGATTAAAGCTCAAATAAAAGTGAAAATAAATGTCCAGTTAGCATTATAAGCCAAACTTCGAACTATCAACTGTTTTATGCATTTTACGTGATCTTTCTGTTCACGTTACCGTCCATCAAAAAGTTGTGAAAGCTTTATTTCTCATTTACACGACCAATTATATAAAAAAAATTAATAGGGTGGAGGAAGAGCCGATTTCTGTCAGAAAATTCAATAAAACTGCAGCAATATTCATGTTCATGACAACTTAACGTTCACCCATTAATCCCTTAATGATTATAAGCTACGGTATAACAAAGATGTGAAGTCTTCCGTGAATTTTCGAGTGATACCCTTCTGAGTTATTTGATTAATTTAAAAAGGCGCGACGTCACCAGCGTGCAAAATGTCAATATTTTTTGGTATATAACTCAAACGACGCAGGTCTAAGACCTGTAATATATACGTTGACGCAATTATCACAAAATATATGTAGTTGCCGTTTTACAAAACGTTATAAAAAGAATATAAAACACCGCCGTCTTTTTTCGAAATCAAATAAGATTTGGCATATTTTTATTAGTGATTCAATAAACTGACTTCAATTCCAATTCGAGTACAGTTCACTTCGAATCCCTCCATTTTAATGAGGAAAAATATTTCTAAACGTTGGAGGGGAGTAAAGGTTCAATCTGTACCTTCCAATAACGCTTTGCGTAAAATGTAATGTCAAAACAAATAGTTACCCCTCAGAGCAATTAGTTTCAAAACGTATAGTAAAAACGTAAAACGTGATATGGTCGGATGAAATATAGATATTGCATGTTTGTCTACCAAAATTGGTCAAGTTCTCGAGACCTATTCATTTTCAACGTATTTTCATGGAATAAACATACTAACTATTACAGAGAAAGACTTAACTCGGTTGACCCAACTAGCTGCTTACAGGATGGACAAGCTATGTGGCCACACTGTACAGTTAAATATAGACAAACTTGTAATGTTATTGAACATAATTAAGATGTATAAGCAAATTAATTATATAAATCATTTAGCTTTGAACACGTGGATGGTTGAGCATACATACCAAAAAGTGAGTTAAATATTGTGAGCGTTTGCATGACGCCATCAAGGCGGTTCGGCCGATATCCAGGCGTTCCGGCCGGTGAAAACCTGGTGAGAGGATGGTATGCGCCAGTTGAGAACACGGCGAGAACGGTAAGCAAGAATTCTGAAACACGGTAAGTCCGGTACAAGGCCGATGAGAAGCCGGTACAGACCCGGAATAGAACGGTATAGTCCCGGTCAAAAATGTATAAAAACAATGCGGCCGTCGCCGTCTGGCCATAATTAGCCAAACGGTGGCGAACGGTGAGCCTACACGGCTAGTGTGACCGCTACTTTAGAAACTGAAGTTTGAAATATTAACATAAAACATAAAGAATCACAGAAACATGTCCAACACATAGGTATTAATCAACCATACTTTTGAGCCAAGTAAAATAAAAATGAATTCAAATTTTACTTGACCTGCTACGCCCTTTGTCATGTTGCTATAGTAACAATAATTATCCATTGCGACATCATATGACTATAAGACTGTTTTATTCAACCCAAAATTACATTCCTCATTTACCATGCAAATTTCAAGTGAATTGATTGAACAATAATGAAATGACAGATAAATTCCCAGAACTTAGTGATCACCCTGTATATCTGCCCGCTACGTCATAATCGCTGTTCCCGTATTGGTTCTTTTTTGTAACGTTCGCATACTGTAAACGACAATGGAGAAAAACGCAAACATTCGCGATCTGTTTGATGCTTTAAAGAAGTGAAGGAGCAGTATGCCCCGTTAATAATCAAAGATTTGAACAGGAAAATCCGGCTACGGACAAGAATACAAAACTGGACATGAATATTTTAAAATAATTCCACGGTTGGTTGCAAAGTTTCTGAGCTTTGGCCAATTGAACAATGTGATTGGTATGGGATAAACAGATCATCCTATAGTCGGTTCAGGATATTTGGATTATCCCTTGGCCAATATAATATATCTACCCTCGGGACATACGGCGCTCGGGCAGATATATTATATTGGCCTCGGGATAATCCCAATATCCTGAACCTCATATAGGATAATCTCTATATATTGATACATGATGATATCCCGATGTTAAGTCAACGAAGTCAAAGAAAAAATAATAATCAAAAGATGTGAACTTTGCAAAGCTTCACCTACTTTCAAAGGTCGGTTCAAGGTTTTCCTTAACACTGTTCTCTCAAAGATTATCATATTTTCACATTTTGTAATAATTTTTTATAATTGATGATTTTGTAAATTATACCCCTGGTAGAATCTCAAATGAATAAAAAAATGTAATGTTGTATGTAACTCTACAAATTCAGAAATAGTCAATGATGTAAGTATAACTAACATATTCTCAATAAATTAAGAAAATTAAAAGTGTTTAATGAGTTATACCACCCACACGAGTGTGAAATAAGATTTTGATCTTATTTTTCAGTTGAAATTGTATTAAATGTTCTCGATGTCAAACCGTTTAAGATATTTTTACTTATCTATCATCTCTTCAAAAACATCTTTAGTTACAAGAAAATATTTTGAAAAATGACCCCTGCGTAATCCTAAATAAATGATAAACGGTAATGTTGTGTGATGCTCAACAGACAATACTATGTTCGGTTATATTAAATCTACCAATACAATTTATTCAAAACAGTGCTGCTTTAACAGGAGGAAGTTATTAAAATTTTGTCAATTCCTTTAATACTGATACACGATATTTAATACACATTATACATACTGTCTTTGATGTCTAATGTGTTTGGTCCCATATAGTCACATATAAGCCTCTTATAAACATTTTTCTCTGTGGCCTGGTCGAGCATCGCTTGACTTGCATCCAAGGCGTCTATGTTAGTGAAGCCCAGTTCCTTCAGCTGTAAAAAGCAGAATATATCATAATGTAAAGATCAAAAACAAAGCACGATTAGCCGATCAGCAAAAGACGTACTAGTTCTTACCTCTCCTCCAACAATACCAGTCCCAGCAGCAAGGTCCAGGACTGGTGCACTCTTGTCTTCAATGTATTCTGCCAACACCCTTGCAGCAGCCAATGGTGTTGTGCTGTTATAGCCATTGAGAAGAAGATTACAATTCTTACCTCTCCTCCAACAATACCAGTCCCAGCAGCAAGGTCCAGGACTGGTGCACTCTTGTCTTCAATGTATTCTGCCAACACCCTTGCAGCAGCCAATGGTGTTGTGCTGTTATAGCCATTGAGAAGAAGATTACAATTCTTACCTCTACTCCAACAATACCAGTCCCAGCAGCAAGATCAAGGACTGGTGCACTCTTGTCTTCAATGTATTCTGCCAACACCCTTGCAGCAGCCAATGGTGTTGTGCTGTTATAGCCATTGAGAAGAAGATTACAATTCTTACCTCTCCTCCAACAATACCAGTCCCAGCAGCAAGGTCCAGGACTGGTGCACTCTTGTCTTCAATGTATTCTGCCAACACCCTTGCAGCAGCCAATGGTGTTGTGCTGTTATAGCCATTGAGAAGAAGATTACAATTCTTACCTCTCCTCCAACAATACCAGTCCCAGCAGCAAGGTCCAGGACTGGTGCACTCTTGTCTTCAATGTATTCTGCCAACACTCTTGCAGCAGCCAGTGGTGTTGTGCTGTTATAGCCATTGAGAAGAAAATTACAATTCTTACCTCTCCTCCAACAATACCAGTCCCAGCAGCAAGGTCCAGGACTGGTGCACTCTTGTCTTCAATGTATTCTGCCAACACTCTTGCAGCAGCCAGTGGTGTTGTGCTGTTATAGCCATTGAGAAGAAGATTACAATTCTTACCTCTACTCCAACAATACCAGTTCCAGCAGCAAGATCAAGGACTGGTGCACTCTTGTCTTCAATGTATTCTGCCAACACCCTTGCAGCAGCCAATGGTTTAGTGCTGCTATAGCTGTTAAGTAGAGTATCCTAAACGAGGTAAACATCACTGAATTACACAGTTGGTATTTTGATGGCATGCTATAGTAAAATTTAAATGTTAGTGAGTACTTTGAATTTAAAAAATAAGCAATTAATGACCAAATTAAAACAGTTTATGTAAAATAGAAACATTCATATTTATCCTAGAGTCCATTTCACTGTTTAATTGCGTCAGTAAAACCTAAAAATTAAGAAATCAAAATATCATTATGCAATAATACATATGGAAAAATATATTCCTATTGTACATGCATGACATTTGTGTATCTTGGATTGCTTCTGGATTGGCTTATAAACTGTGTGGCCTCTTATATTTGGATGCTTCTCTGCCATGTTATTTTCAATAAGATTAACATAGCTGAAATTCTTCAAATTACAAGAGGGCACAGGCTTATTGCACAAAAAACTAAAAAATCTGAAATACACAAATGCCATTCATGTACAATATGAATATACTTTTCCATATATTATTGCACAGTGGTCTCCCGATTTCTTATTTTTGGGGTTCTACTGACGCAATAAAACAGCGAAATGAACTTTTGTATATTTCAGATAGTAATGTATAATGTGCAGGAAAGCTGTGGCCTTTTGTAATTTAGGGAGGTTCAGCCATGTTAATTTTTCCGAAAATAACATGGCAGAGAAATATCAAAATATAAGATGACACAGATATGATAGCTAAACTACAAAACAAACTAAAATATGCAAAAGTTAGGATAAGCAAAAAGGTTTCTATTTTTACATTTACTGTTTCAATTTTTGTCATTTGATTGCTTATTTTTTAAATTCGAAGTACTCACAAACATTTAACATTTTACTGTAAATATGGATATATTGACGTTATTACAGCTTCTGGCGGACTTTCTTGTAATTACCTGATCATACGTTTTAGCCCATTGCTTATAAATGTCATCGACTTCTGCTTGGGTGATGCCTTCCTGTGCTGATTTGTTAATCAAGGTGTTAACCTCTTCAGCTGTCTTTGCCCCAGCACCAAACACAACTTTTTCCGGGTTGATCTTCGATTCAGACATATTGTCTAGGATTGTATTGTATTGTATTGTATTGTATTGTATCGTATCGTATTGTATATACCCATAGACTTCTGTCTAAAGATACCTGCTGACATTTGAAGTGCCACAGGCTGCAATAAACTGATCAGGTTACATGACCCACAATGGCTCAAGAGTGTATATAGTTCAACAAGTTAAACCTAGTCTGGGCCTTATTTCTTATCTGACATTTCTTGTGGCCCGCCCTAGGTTTAACATCCGTGCCTATTCGGCCCTTGATGCAAAACATTTTAATGATGGCCTATGACAGCGCATGGAATTCTATGCGCGTTTTATTAATAACTGATAGTGAGAATTTGCAACCAATGAAAGCATAGCACGGAAGTTAAACCCAACCACGGCAACAAGAACACTCAGATTATAAATGAAAGCCGTGGTATTGGGTTTAACTTGTTGAACTAGAGTGTATAATATAATTGTATAATATAATTCGTAAAAGTACAAGGTGGGCCAAAAATATATACCATTTGAAAAAACGATCATCTTACATTATTTATTTTTTGATATATCCAAGATTTTGCGTGTCAAAGTATTAAATAATTGAAATACCTGAAGCTGGTTAATATCTAGGTGGTGAGGCCCGTTATTTCCCTAATTTTAGCTTCATGGACATGCAAGTTTCAAGAAATGATGGATCACTGTATAAATCACTTGTTGTTACATAAAAATGCGAATGCTCGATGTAGATGTTGACATTGACAATATGTCATTTGTTGAGCTACTGAATGGGTCGTTTCCAGGAATTGCTACCTACTGGTTTGATTGGTGTTTCAAATTGATGGTTAAAGTATTTGATTGGATACTGTTCCTACTCAGCCGATTAATTTAGAAAATGCTTGCGGTCAATTGTTCCACAAACATGTAGGTAAAGCTTTATACGGAGATCCAACTGTATACGTTTATCATCTACGTGTATATACCGTTTTGTAAGTTCATTGAACTTATACTGATCATGAAAACTTTGACATAATTAACTTGTTTATGTAATGACTCGCTTTAGAGGATCATGGCTCACTTTAAAGGATCGTGTTTATAATACACTACAACTACTAGGACACGGAAGCATTCACAGTCTCTAGTTGATGGAGCTTTTCTATATCGGGAATAGTTATGTTCCATTAAGAACAATTTGAAATTGATTTTAGTAAATATAATAGTTCGACATGACCCTTTAAGTATACGTATAAGTTGTACTTTCACTTATGTGCGAAATCTCTCTAATATCTTTTTATTGTAACTGAATGATAATAGACTAAATAGATAAAAATGAATAAAAACCCAATGAATCAAATTGCTCCATATTTATGTCACAATCGTACCATGTATATGTATGTATCTCGGTGCACTATCAGCATCTTGCTTACATGATGATACAATGCATTCTAGCTAAAAGTACAACTCCAAGATCCTTGTGCAAGTTAATAACATACTCATGATTGTGCAAGGAACAACTGTTGCAATTGAAGGCATATGAAATATTATTTCTTTTATGGGTATCTCGGTGCACTATTTGTGCAAATGTGAAAGATGTACATCGTATATTAAATGAGTTATGTATTCCTGGAAATAACATGTGACATATAAAGACGGCTGCATAAAGATTCCAAAAAGTACACATCTCCCTAACACCAAATTTGAACATATGTTGGCTAGGTATACTAGGTGTATAGGCTCATCTGACATTTTCAGTACATTTTCAAAAAATGCCAGATCTGCAGGATATAGTCTAGAGTCAATTTGCAGTTGATCAGATACTATATTTCTAGTATCTGGACACATCCTTTAGAGGGATACATTAGCGATCTGACTGTATAATGAGACTGTAAGCTGCAATGGGTGTGAGCTTAATAAGTCCATACCTAGCCTACCTCTGAAGCCGACGCCTAGATTGGAGAATTATCCAAAGAATCATCGTATTTAGAAACCAAACATATATACCCTCTCAAAATACACTGCAATTTTGTTTCTACAATGGGTGTTGATAACTGCCAACACAGTACATGTCTCTTCAATTTGCCTTTTAATTTGCTCTAAAAATACTTCTTTGGTGATATCTAACAATCTTGAACGAATATTTAATTAAGGACCTCAATGCAAAACACTAAAATGTAAGCAGGCTTCTGATTGCTGTTTACTTGCGCAAGTATCTCGGAGTTGCTCTTTTAGCAAGGATGCGTTAAATCATTATGTAAGTAAGGTTCTGATTGGTTCATAATTTACGCCGCTAAAAATAAACTCGACGGAATTGTTTTCCACAGAGGAACCACGAGTCTTGTTTGAAAATCATCGACCTTCGAGATTAAGGACTATGATTGATCAAAATGGAGGACATAATTGAGCATCGGTTTCTGTTAACAAAAAACCTGCTTTGAAACGAAAATGCCGGCATTTGTATTATGGATGCTGGTCGACACGTATTATGATAAAGGATGATTCTCGGTTTGGAGAACGAAGTTCATCAATCTAAATGAGCATTATCCCTGCTTCGGACAAATTTGATTTTTTTTACATAATATAGATTTAAATGTCCTCTTTTGAATAGTCATAATTTAATTTGGGTAATATTTCTAGATTTTTCGCAAAATAAATATTAGCGCAGTACACTGATGAACTTCTTTCCCCAAATCGAGACTTGTATTTTGTTGAATCGGTCTTATTGAGCGTTATCCCTGCTTCAGACCAATTTGTTATTTTTACATCTTGTAGATTTAAATGTCCTCTTTTGAAAATTCATAGTTTAATTTGGGTAATATTTGTATATTTTTCATTAAAAAATGATTAGCCCAGGAGACTGTTCTCCAAACCGAGAATCGTCCTTTGAGCTTATGATATACCAAATCAAAGACAATTAAATTTCTTATCCACTGGTACATAATGATACGACGTCAGATATTGTACATCACGGCGTAACATTGTAATTGTTCATTTTACCGACAAAAATGAGAAGATTCACGCGATAAATATTAAATACGTGCAATGCTCCTCCAAGTTATTGCAAAAGTTTTAATATTAATGGAATCTTCTTAAAAATTTCAAGTTTTGTTCAGATTAATGTGCGCTTTAATACAATTCTATATTCAAAAAGGTTGTGTCACGATATGCAGTATTAGAATCACCAGAAAGAAGACATTTCAAACACTACCTGTTTTCTTCTTTGTCGCGCTTTTCAGACCTGGGCTCTCGTTGTCGCACCGTCTTTCTAGACTCTTTCACAGAGCCCCTTGTCATATTCAACTGATATACACAGACGGAAAAATATTAAGGATTGTTAAATGTATTATTTGTAATTTATTTTAACTCGACTTTTTAGTTGTATTTAGCTAAAGCAATTAATAATAAAAGAGAACATATAATACGCTAACGGCGCAACGTCTTATTTTGTAAAGGCTTCACCTGGGGTTGCGGTGATAAAGTGATGTCTATCTCAATATATACTGATTCAAATTAAATGAAATTAATTGTATCAGTAAGGGGTACAATTAAAAGAACATGCTGAAACATTGGAACGTTTTGAATGTTTATCACTCAATTAGAGATATTTGAACTCAAAAAATGAAACGTAATTTTGTGTATTTTTCACATGGCTTCACTTCATATTTCGTTCAATTCATACTTCTTACAGATTGAATTTTAATCGAAATGATATATTTTTTTGATAAAAATGTAGAAGACGACATGCCATTAAGGAATCATAAAATAATAATTCACCTTTCAAACGATTTAATGTTTAATTGATCAAAATATATATCTTGTTGGTACGAAATTCGGCCTGTCCACACTTTTTTGGCATAAATATAAGCGTCAGGTTAGCATTGTTATATTATGACGTCATCACACAGAATCTGTTAGTCTTTTTAAAAATGGTGAATTTAAATATTGTGAAAATTTGAGAAAGATCCGTTAAAAATGAAAAAGTTATCTTCATTTTTAGTTTAAAATTAAAATCATTTTTCTTCAAAATGTTACAGTCCACACCCGATTTTAGCATAGAAAGTCGCATAATCCGGCTTGCGTGATTCTCATTTAAAAACTTCCAAATTAATTATTTTGAATTCCAATAGGCAAAATATTTTATGGACATATATGTTCAACCAATGACGAAAGATTGTAGAAAAATATGATTTCGCTGTCGAGATATCGCAGTTTTAAAAATAAGTACGCATGTAAAAATGCAGTAAAATGCCGTGATGTACAGTATCTGACGTCGTATCAATATGTTATGTTTTCATCAATAAAATCAATGTTTATTTTTGAAATATGAGTGTCCCTTTTTTAGACCACCTGTATTTGTAAATATGTGCATTGTACATTGTATATTAAAGACCGTATTAATATACTCGCACAACTTAATATTTCATTTTTAATTTCTGGCATTTTAATTTCAGACATCATGTTGTCCTCTATGTATTCAATAAACCGTCTAAACGTTCGGTCTGGAAATGATGGTAATTTTATTACAAACTGGTCCATGCCAGTCAAGGAAGATCGCAAAGGAATGCTAGGGCTACTCCTCCTTGGTAGTGATAAGGCACAAACTACTTTATTTGTATAAAACGTGTATGAATATGTGTACAGGGTGATCAATAAATAAGGTAAACTGTATCTTGTACCTTGCAAATATTGGTCCAAACATCCTGAAATTTGGTTAGAGTATACCTTGTATATGTTTCAACCAAAACATATGAATATATAGCTTGTGCCATCTGATTGGTTAATATTATAGTTACCATGGCAGCTGGAGTCAGAGGTACCCAGGGCAGTCTTACAATGTCCAGTTTGAACCAAAAAAGAAAAACGCCTCTTTTTCAAACTGAAAAGAAATTACCTTGGGTGCTAATATCTATTGTTTTAATAATTTTCTACCCTAGCATTTCTTGCAAATTTGTGATGTCACAAAATGAAATCTGATGTGTTCATAGAAAGTCTTTGACATGGGTCAACAATACCCTCAGACTCTCAAAGTGGTGCAACTCAATAAGGAGGAAGAGGCCAGGTGTAAAAGGGTAGGAGGTCGTATCAAATTATGGTCCTATATACTTTCCATTGATTTATATGGTGACCTAAATACAACTCTTTCCCTTATTATCGTATCCACAATCAGGGCCAGTAAGGGCCTTTAAGAAAGGGGACCATAATCCCCATTGGACCATAAATTTCTTTTACACCGGCAAACGATTCACATTGCACTGAGATAATGCTCCATCTCACCCTGCTGTATATTCCCATCATATGGAACACTTTGTTTCCAACTCTTAGGTTATGCACCTTACTCTCCTGACTTACCCCCCCCCCCTCCAGCGATTTTTGAGGTAGTTGAGAGGTGCTCTAATTCTCATGGGAAGACCTGAAGTCAGCTATCTTGGACAAGTCGCAGACTATGTTAAATTGGTTTAAAAGGTGTTCAAAGACATGGTTAGATGACATAAACTATGTGTTGGCAACAAAGGACATTATGTAGAATAAATATGAAATATAAAATAAGAATATGATATGTCATTTCAATTGTAATGAAAAAATAATCAATAGTTAGTTTTTGATAGTTGCCCCAGGTCCTCATGCTCTCTGTTGCTATGATATTCATAACTTCAATCATATCCATAACTTGGCATATCGATGCATTCAATAATATTTGAAGCATATTCTGTACAAATTTTATGAGAATCTGAAGAAATGCCAGATATTTTTACCTAATATTTATTGATCACCCTGTACGTACCTTATCTACTGTATAAACACTAGA